CTCTCTCTCTCTCTCTCTCTCTCTCTCTCTCTCTCTCTCTCTCTCTCTCTCTCTCTCTCTCTCTCTCTCTCTCTCCAAGGGGCAGCGGCAGCGGGCGGCACGTCAAAATGGCCGCTTTGAAACTGCTCGGACCTGTGTGAAACCTGCCACCCCAAAAACCTGCAGTGTCTTGTGTCTGGACCTCTAGGCCCTGTCCGGTGGGGGGTGAAACGACACTGGCGGCCAGGACCCGAAAACGTCCTGGGCCGCCCCTTTTTTTTTTTTCGGTTTTTGCCGTGGGGGCCTCCATCCAGGCATCATGGACCAGACACCGGACCCGGGCATGTTGTTCCGGACTGTCTGGAACCCGGTCCGGACGTCTGGTCGGTTACCATGAAAAACAGCGGTGTATCTTTCCATGTTCTAAGGGGAGATTCAGTCTTATTTTTCACATCTGATGAGTGCTGGAGCCAAGGCCCAACGTGGGCTAACCCCCCCCCAAAAAAAAACGCCGGTGCATCTTCTCATATTCTAGCAGGAGATTCGTTCTCATTTTGCACATTCGGTGAGTGCTGGAGTGAAGGCCCAACAGGATGCAGGTGCTGACAACCAGGCAGCTTCTTATATTTTGATTTTTGTCTTTGGTGCACTGAACCCGAGCGTGCTCGGACGCGCTGCTATGTACTTGTATAATTGTATTTGAAATTGAGTGCTAAGAGGCCAGCCAAAGTCCGAGGCGGGGAGACTGAAAAACGGCTCGAACCTGCGCTACGGAAAAAGTAATCGCGCACCGGACCTTCACGGCAAAAAAAAGCAAACTGCCATGCGCCGCAAAACAAATTGCAGAAATGCCCCTGCACCTGCCCTGGGTCCCACAGCAGCCCAAGTTTCGCATGGGGCCGTTACGGCAGACCCGGGTTTGCTTTTGTAAGGATAGAGATAATAATAAATCCCCTCACTACAAAAATCGCTAGTGTAACATTTGAGGGATTCGGCCGGTCCCAGGGCCTGCCCGTCCGCGGCCCAGATCAACGGAACGATGTAGCAAATCGGGGATCCTGGCTGTATGGCCCTACCGGATCAACTGCCCGGATGGAGGTGTGTTCTTATAATCTTAGGATTGTGCGCCGATCCCGACCATCGGTTCTTACCGGATCAACGGCCGGGATTTTTCGTTTCTGTATGTTGGAAATGTACGGTGGAACTGCATCAGTCCTTTCCGCCTTGTACGTTGGAAACAACCGTTTCACATCTAGGATTGAGATCTCTATTTGCTGTATATGGTTGACTAGTTGTCATATGCTCAAAAGGCTTGAACATGTCGTTTCTTTCGCACACACTATGGTTTGTGCTGTCGTTTTGTTGACAGTTTTTTTTTTTTTTTTTTTTTTTTTTTTTTTAACAACAGCTCCAATCTATTCGTGGGGACCAGCACGTGCTGAGAACCGGGCTCAGATCCGTTTTGAAATGCATAGACAAAAGTTGAGGAAAACCTGAGCATGAAATAAACAGAGAAAATCAACCGTGCTGGAAACCGGGTCCAGCATCCCATGCCTTGGACTGAGAAGCCTAACCGTGCTGGAACCGGGACCTGCGTCCTATGCCTTGGACTAGCAGAACCAAAATACAGGGGTCTACCTCTTCATCCATCATGTCGAATGCCAGATCATACTCTGAAAGCTAGCTGCCCCTGTCCACCTTTTCAACCCCTGGCCTGGCCTGGATACTGGAAGGAGCCACTGGGGAGCACCAGTGGGGCCTCCTTCCGTCTCCCTGCCCGCCCCAAAAAACTCTTCTATCCTCTACGCTGTCCTCATGCTATCCTCATGCAAAATGTTACACGAAACGTCTCGTGCTGAGACCTGGGCTCAGCGTCCCTTATGCACAACTGACTTGTGAGTAATTTGAAAGTACAGACATTCCATCACCAGGTTGAAGGAGAAGCCAATGGAAAATGAAGGGCAAGATCCACTCAAGAGACAAACTTGATAAGACAAGGTTGCCCATTCTTGAACACATTTGAGCAACTGTCCAATCCAATGGGTCTAAAGTGTGGCTACATACAGGCACCCGCACTGGTGTCCCCACAGTTCACCCTCATGTGAAGCCTCTGAGCAAAGTATGTAATCAGAGCAAGCTCTTTTTTCCTTTGAAACAGGGGTCCGGTGTCAGCTTTTTAAGGGGAAGGGGAAATTCACACTCTAATTTCCAGGGCCAATGGGTGTGGTGGGAACAGATCCGGGAGGTCCTCTGCCAGTCGCAGGGGGCTTTCTGGACCAATCTTCATCCAGTTTTTAAACAGGAGGCAGTAGTCCCGGGGGGAGTCCCTTTCCACCCTGTCTTCAAGAGAGTCCCTCCCCTCTGGCCCACCCCCTGACCGTCGCACCTCTGCCAACCATCCTCCTTGTTCTCCACCCAACCATTCTTTTGAAAATCTTGCAATCCATTCCATAATGTCCTTCTTTCCGAGGAGGGAGTCAAGAACCTGTTTGGTCTCCCCCCACTGTCGTGAAAGTTCCAATTGGAAATGTTGCTTGAATTCACATACATGTGTTTCTGAACTTGTCATGCACTGACCTACTCACGGTCTGTTTAGCTCACACCATCCCCATAGTCGTGTCTCTCTCTTTCCCCCGCCCTCCCTCCCTCCCTCCCTCCCTCTTTCTCTCTCCCGCTCTCCCTCTCTCTGTGGTTGGTCCCTGGTTGAGTGGTGTGGTAGACCTGGTAGATGAGTGTGCGGTGGGACGAACAAGTCGTGGTAGCTCGGTTGGTTGGTTGAGTGGTGTGGTAGACTTGGTAGATGAGTGTGTGGTGGGACGAACAAGTCGTGGTAGCTCGGTTGGTTAGAGCTCTGGCGTTGCAACAGGGAGGTTGCGGGTTCGACTTCCTCGACACCCTCAATCTCCGCCATGCACGATCAGATGGTGCTAGTTTGGCATACAACATACTCGTCCCCCAGCCAGGCACAGCGTATATACGGAC